GAGTTTCAGCAGTTCTTTGATTTTCTCACAACGGAATCAAAGCCTTGTTTGTTTTTCTGTGGTTGGAGCCTGGGTCCATGAGGCGTGGTTAGAGCTGAAGACAGAGGCTGGGAGGAATGTGCCCTTGTGATGTGTCTCAGAATTGGAAAAGGCTTCAAGGAAAATCAAAATAACCACACAGACCACCTCTTCCCCCCATCCCACTGGATCCTGCTTCTCAGGGGAGACCTGCTCAGACATAATAGTATAAGAAGGACCCAGAACCTTCACAAAAAGCTTCCTCTGAGGCGGCCCACGGGGAGAGCAAGGCAGGCGCTGATGTCAGCCCTGAGGTATGTGGCAGGCATCACCAAGCCAACCAGCCTACAGAGAGGAGGCTCACAAGGGGACAAGGGCCTTTCCTCCCTTCCCTGCTGAGAGTGTAAGCACCAACCTGAGTACTGGTCCCAAAAAGCTTGTTTTTGTTCTTTTAATCCTCACCTGAGGATGTGTGTGTGTGTGTGTTTTCAAATTGATTTTTTAGAGAGAGAGGAAGGGGGAGAAAGAGAGAGCAACATCGATGTGAGAGAGGAACATTGATCGGTTGCCTCCTGCATGGGCCTCGACTGGGGATGGAACCCGAAGCCTAGGTGTGTGACCTGACCGGAAATGGCACCTGCATCCTTTTGATGTCCTCGCTCTTGGAGTGCACGGCCCCATTTTCTCCAAAAATAAATACACACTTGGCTACTTCAGAAATATGCAGCTTTTAATTTAAAATCTAAGGTCCTCTACAAGCAGGGAGGCTGACATCTATGGAGCCCCTAATTTGAGCCGGGCGGCCTAATCAAACGATCTCAGTGAGTCCTGGCCTCAGCCGGGAAGCAGGCATGGGCACCATCCCTGTGGGGTAGAGAAAGGCAGGGCTTTGCCAGCTGGAGCCCTTGGTCCCGAGGCCACACCAGCTAGTAACCTTAGCAGGTGCAGCATTTGAGCTTCCTTATCAGAGTCAAAGCCCAGGTTCTTCTAACTTACCCCCTTGCTGCTGCCTACATTCATATTTTTGCATCAGAAATTAAGGGGAATTGAAAAAATATTAAAGTACATTGTACACCCAAAACTAATACATTGTTATATGTCAATTACATCTCAACTAAAAATTAAGAAAAATTTTACGTTAAGAAAGAAATTAAGGGAATTGGAATAGAAGCTGACCCTTTGTTGAGGCAGCTCAGACTAAAGCTCTGTGGAGATGTGGGTGTAACCAACTTAAGCTTTGCTATGATTTTTTTTTTATTGGTTTATTCGTTTTGGTTTTTAAAGCTTTTGCATTCTGGGTTGCAGGCTCGATCCCCAGTAGGGGGCGTGCAGGAGGCAGCCGATCAATGATTCCCATCATTGGTGTTTCTGTCTCTCTCTCTCCCTCTCCCTTTCTCTCTGAAATCTATAAAAATATATTTTAAAAAAATAAAGCTTTTGCATTAAAACAGGCACTTCACATCTGCTGCTTCCCCAGGAATCATCATTCTGTTTTGAAAGTACAGTGAATATGCTTGGCTTTTGAAATTAAGAGGAAGGTATACCGAGCAGAGGTTAACCCAAAAAACTGGTTACAAGTCCGACTGGAGGTAAAGAGGTGACCCAATTTTTAGAAAGCCAATCCCGTACATGCACAAGCTACTCTATTAGAACTGAGAAGAAAATGGACTTAGTCTAGTTGTCTGTTTTGATATTTTCATAAATGAAGGACTCACTAGTTTACTGCAGGCTTAATAAATTGACTCCTTTGAGCCTCATAACCAAGTCAAGGTTGGCACATTTGTTTAAGTATTGTTTGTGGTTTGCATATTTTTGGATGGAGGCCAAGATATATAAAGTGACATGCAGAAGGTTACACTACTGGTAAGTAGGGGAGCCTGGGTTCAAACCAGGTCTTCTCTCTCTGTTGTCTGCTCATTCTCACCACATCTCACTTCCTGGATGGAAGTAGTCACTTTGAATAGACTCAGTTGGATTGCCATCCCTAGAATCCCAAGCCTCAAATTTGTTCTGAACAGGTGTCTACTAATGCTTGTAAGGCTTTTCAGGAATG